CTCTTGGGCCCAGTGTCTTACTTTTCTCTCATACAACGTTAATTATAGGCTGTTTCCCCCAAGAGTTGTTCTCTGCAAATGGTTTGTAATTGATCCAGCCTCCTTTTCTGTGTTTTAATTGACTGATTTGGTCCATGTCATTAATGTTAGCGACTTTCCTCAGATGTCTGGGGATTCCTGGTTGCTTGCTTATTTTTAAAAGCAAGGAACAACAACCTTTTAATTATAACAGGTTTGAGGAAGCAAAAGTAGGCATGTATGTTTATCTACCATCTTTGCCCAGTAATAGTCTTTCCTAGCTCTCGTTTATTTTGTAATATTAAAAAGTGAAAAAAAAGAAAACTATGGCCCACCCCTGAAAAAAATTCAATAACTATAACAGCTACTCATGAGTTCAAAGAAAAACTTTAACTTTTCTTCCTCAGCCCTTAAAGGAAAACATGGAAATATTTCCCCAAAAAAATTCTCTACTGCAAAAAATATCATTAGATTAGTACGTGCATTTGTGACATGTACAAAGCACTGTAAAATTGTGAATAAGTTTAGAAATGCTTTCTCCCTCCTCTCTACTCCCACAGTCCTGAATCACCAGCACGGCTTTCTCGCTCATCACTTCCTGCCTGGTGAGTCGCTTGCATGTCTTGTCTCCATGACGATGGTCCACGCCACCAGGGCTCCATGCTACCAGAGAGCCAGGGGTGTGTCTGATTCACCTCAGCCTCAGGTCATTGAAGTTGGACAGTCAGTGAGTGACAATCTTAAGATCTGCTTCTCCCCTCCACACTCACACTTAGCCCCAGTGGAACTTCATTTAGTTTGAATGAAAAAGAAGACCACAAAAACATAAAGGAAATGTACCCCAAAAGCAATAAACCACACATCAGCTTTTAAAGAAAGACATTCTCTAATGCCTTATATTTCATTCTGTTTTGCTCTCTTACTCGCTCCATCTGGAATCTACTCACACAAATAGGAGGGTCATGATCCCCAAGGCAGCCAAGCAGCCAGGGGATACTAGGTTGCAATTTTTTGCAAAGAAAGGTCTGTGGAGACCAATGTGTACAGCAATCCATTGACAGGTACACTAGTGTACCAGCCACACATGAAATCCTGACCTCCTGGTCTGGCATTCAGGCTCTTCCTTATGGGCACCTGAGGACCTTCTAGCATTTGTCCCTGTCTGGGACCTGACCTCTCTACTCAGTCTTGCATGTAGCTGCTGGAAAAGTCATTCTCAGATACCAAGTGTCTCGTGTCCCTTTGTCAGTGACTTCCAGTAGATTTCTTTTGTCTCTGCATCAATAGTTCTGCAGTCTGAACTTCAGGACATCCCCATAAATGCCCCACGATGACCCTCTGTTGGGACCATCCCCACTAGACACATAAATTCATGCCCCTGCCTTTTCTGTGTGTTGTTTCTCGGATGCCAACAGCCATCGCTGACCTGCAGTGAGTGCTTACCCCTGGCCAAACCCTGACACTGGCTCCTATTACTTGTGGGTTATTTTTACTGAATCCTTCATAAGCAAACAAGGAAACTGAGCCACAAAGGGATCCAGAGCCATGGAGCTACTTAGAGGGGAGCTGGAACTGGAACCCAGGCAAGCCATCCTCAGGACCACTGGCTCACTCCCTAGTCCTCAGTATCCTCTGCCCTGGCTCAGACTTGTTCTTCCAGGAAATATTTCCCCATCAGCTGGTGACCCTCACCACGACTCTGCCACCTCTGTTTATGTGCTGCTACTTTGTGTCTCCTTTCTGTGTCCCCTCTACCACCACTGTGTCTTGCTGTGTCACCAACTCTGATGCCTGATTTTGCAGCACAGGACATGAAAGCCAGTGTCAGCCACCAATCCTCCCAGCAAGCGGGGTGAAAGACTCCATGGCCTGAGGGCCTGGCAGGGCCGGTGAGCAGGACTGTGGGAGGTTGCCTATCAGAGGTCATGACAGACTTGGAATGGTGCTGATGCACTGGGATGGGGGCAGGTTCCATTCTGGGGTCACAGTGGGTAGTCCCAGTCCTTGTATCTCCAGGATAGCCTGTAGAGATGAGGCTGCCCTTGTGTGGACAGTGACGACAATGCCAATGCCACCTCCTGGCATTGCTGGTTCCCCAACCAAACTCAAGCCTGGATGGCTATAGGGCTGGGCTTGGTGGGCCATGGGCTGCTGCCTGTCATCTCCCTCTGTGCTTTGCACACCTGCCTCCCACCCACTCCCCCACCTCTGTGTTCCATCTGCTCACCACAGATCATTCTTCCCAGCAAGCTGCGTCATTTTGTCATCCCTCTGCCCAGGAACTTAGAATCATTTCCAAGTCCTCTAAGAGAAAATCCAAATTGGTGATCCGAGAATTCCAGGCCCTCCAACATCTGAACACTGTCTCCAAAGTGACCTTCTTGTCTGCTATGGGAGCCCAGGTGTCCTCCTCCTACTGACATTTCATCATTCCCCAAGAACACACCTGTCACTTCTGCTTCTCTGGTGCTAAGTAGAGCAGTGAAAGGAGTATGGGCTTTGCTTCAGTTGCTTCCATGTGTCCTTGGGCAAGTCGCTCAATGTCTCTGTGCTTCTAGCTGCTTAACCTAGCAAATGCTTCAAAGGACTGTATAAGAATTAGAGTGCTGTATTCAAAGTGCTGATCACACCAGGCGCTCAATGAGTGACATCCCTCATGCTGTGCTCTTGGTCTTGGGGTTCCCCCATGTAGATGCCCATCTGCCCATCTTCTTTCTTTTTCTTTTTTGTTTTTTGTTTTGGAGGCACTGAGGTTTGAACTAAGGGCCTCATGTTTGTTGGGCAGATGTTTTATCACCTCTATCACCTGAGCCATGCTCCCAGCCCTTTTGCTTCAGTTATTTTTAAGATAGGGTCTCATACATACTTTTCCTAGGACAAGCCTCAGACCATGATCCTCCTGCTTCTACCTCCAGAATAGCTGGGATTACAAAGTAGATCACCACACTGGCTTGTTCTTTGAGATAGGTCTCACTAACTTTTTGCCCAGATTGGCCTCAAACCACGATCTTCCTGTCTCTGCCTCCCAAGTAGCTTGGATTACAGATGGGAGCCACCATGCCTGGCCTGACCCCCCTTCTGACTAGCAGTACTTCTGACTTCTTCAGACCCATCTCCAGATATACCTATATCTGCAGCTGCCTCTCATACCTCACCTGTAGCTGCCTCTCCCACCTCAAAGAAGCAGCACTTGGTGATCATTCATGGGCCACCAGACACTGTGAGACACAGTGAACACTGATGATGGTAGCCAGTACTTACTTTAGGCCCTGACACCAGACCTGTCGCAAGCATGCCACGTACATGAATTCCTAAACAGCTCTCTGTTCTATCCAAACAGACTGGCTCTGGCTCAATTTCCCTATCCAATGACCTCCAATTAGTTAACTGAGTGGGGTTTTTTTTGTTTTGTTTTGTTTTGTTTTTTGCGGCACTGGCACTTGAACTCAGGGCCTTCACCTTGGGCCACTCCACCTTTTTGTGATGGGTATTTTCAAGATAGGGTCTCTTGAACTATTTTCCCGGGGCTGGTTTTGAACCGTGATTCTCCTGAGTAGCTAGGGTTACAAGTGTGAGCCACTGGCTACAGGCTGACTGGGAGGTTTTAAGGAGTGGTGTCTCTACAGGGTAAAATGCAGTATACTGTGTGTCCCTCAGAGAACATTCAGAATGTTCGCTCAGAGAACATTTTGAAAAAAGGACTGCCCTCGCTAGTTCAGTCAGTCCTGGCTGCCCTTTTGTTAAACCTGGGGCTGGAACACCCTTCCCATCCTAAGCCAAATCCAAGCATTGGATTTGGAGAACTGAGCCTTGCTCTTTGAGGACACTGTCTTAGTCTTCCTTTTGCCGCTATCGCAGAATACCACAAGCAAGTAACTAATAAAGAACTGAAAGTTATTTCTCAGGGTTCTGGAGGCTGGAGGTCCAAGACCAAGGTACTAGCAGGTTTGGTGTTTAGTGAGGGCTGCTTCCAAGGTGGCACCTTGTCACTGCCTCCCCCAAAGGGAGGAGCGTGTGTTCTCACAGGGTGGAAGACAGAGGGCAAGTGAAGCAGACTGCTGTCTGAGCCTCTTGTAAAAGGGCCCTGATCCTATTTATGAGAGAAATGGCCTCCTGACCTCTCAAAGGTGACACCTCTCATTACCATTGCACTGGGAATGCCTGAATTTATAGAGGGGACACACTCAATACAGGCGGTACCTTCTCTGACAAGCTCTTATGTGTTTGGGTCAAGAGCATCACCCTCCCCCTTCTGTTCCGTTTACTTCACCCTCTGAAAATGTCTGCGCCTTCTGAGACCAAGAGGTGGGGGAAGGGATCCAATGGAATGAGCCTCCAGGTAGAGGATGTGGTGGTGAGGTTTCCAGCTGGTTCCACCCAGAATAGAGCAGTCATAAGCTTCTGCCAAGTCGGAAGGGGAGTCTGTACCTCTATGGGTACCCCCAGGAGCCCCTCCCTGTAGAGTCAGACCCAAAGAGCCCCCTCACCCCACACTGCAGCTCACAGAAGCTTCCAGCCTTGGAGTCCATTCAATTTCTTAGAAATCACTGTGTTCGGTGATTTTTTTTTTTTTTTTTTTACATTTCCTCTATTCAAGAGCTTGGGATTTCAGATTGATCACTTCCACATATGTTGAGACTGTCAGCTCAGAAAAGAACATTTAAATTTTATTACTGCATGATTTCATCCAAAGCAATCCTACCAACAGTAAAAGGATGTCTCCAATGTAGTGTGAATCATGACAAAACATTTTACCTGTGGAACCCAGCTCGTGGTGGGAGGCTGGGGGTTGGGGAACTGCAGGCAGGACCTGGGTGGGCACAGGCATGGCGCCTTCAGTGGCCTAAAGCAATCTGTGTGTGCCACCATTGCCTCTGTCTCCTCCTCAGCAAAATATCTCCTTCACCTGTCTAGGTTTGTCCATAGCCTCTACCCTTGGTAACAGCAGCTGCAGCAACTAACTCCTGTCTTCCCCCTGGCAGGTACCATGACCAGCAGGACGTAACTAGTAACTTTCTGGGTGCCATGTGGCTCATCTCCATCACATTCCTTTCCATTGGTTACGGGGATATGGTGCCCCACACATACTGTGGGAAAGGTGTCTGTCTTCTCACTGGCATCATGGTGAGTACCCAACCCGCTTCTGCCCGTGACCTTGACCTCAACACATTGCCAAGAGCAGAGCCCCTTTCTGAAGCACAGAGGAGCCTTCCCAGTTAGGGTGCAGGGCAGTTGACAGATGTGCACATCCCCCTGCACACCCAAAGCAAACATGAGTTCTGCAGTGGTTTCCCCTTTGTAGCTTACTTTGCTGAGATAGGGATAAGGTCCTAGTTCCCATCAGTTAGCGGTCTATTCATAGCCTACCCACAAAATAGGCTGGGGGAGGCTGGTCACTGCCCCAACCTTCTACTCACCTCCAGTAAACCTCAGGGCTTGTGGTTTACTGCCCTCCTTCCTGTCCCCTGGGTCCCACAGACCTTGGCACCATCTCTGATCAAGTTTAGCTGAGTTTAGCTGGAATGCACAGAGGTAGGGACTAAGGAGAGAGCATTGAAACTGCCTGAAGGGATCTGTGTCCTGGATAGAGTTGGCCACTGGCTTGGGTCCTGTTTTGGCCACACTGCCCTGGGCCAAGTTTTGACTTTTCCAGGCTTTGGCTTCCACGCCTGCATAGTGGGGTGCTGGGCTCTCGGTGCCAAGTCCTTTCCAACACTGGCAACTGGCAAGACCAACTCCATCCCGAGATGCCCAGTAGGTGTGCTGCCTCCTTCCAGTGTGTTCCCCTTGCCTATAGCCCTGCCCTGCTTGCCCCAGGACGCAACACATGCTCTGGGAGGCACACACTCCTGCCCTTCACATGGTCATTGTAGCACAGCGTGTGGGACAGACATGGCAGGGGCAGTCAGAGGCAGCACCTGAACTTCTGCTCTGGCCCCTCGCTATGGTACTCATTGTTGAACTCAGCACCTTCCAGTCTAAAGTAAAGCTGGAAGGCTTGCCTTGCCCTCTTCACTGGCTTGTGGTGAGGCCCCCAGGAAATGACTGACAGAAAAATGCTTGGTAAACAATGAAAGCCACACCTGGGCTCAGTGTCGGCCATGTCTGCAGGATCCCCAACTTCAATAGTTCCTGCTTGTGAGCTGGGGAGGAGGCTCCATGGCTTTGCTGCACTTGGGGACAGGCAGGACAGGCAGCACTGCTCTTTGATCAGTGTCAGAGCCAATGAGACCCTCTTTTCAGAAGAGGAGGGAGGGCTCAATGAGGAATGCACACAGGGAGGTTTCCAGCCTGGTGGTAGAAGTGGTGAGTGGGTGCTGGGGGTGACTGCAGGGGCGAGATTGTGGATTGATTCTTAGGGCTTGGGTCTAGGTGTCCACTGCAGCTCTCCACAGGACAGCGTCCCTCTGCACCTCATTCTGCTACTGTGAACACCCTTCCTTCAGAGCTCCCTCTCACCTCAGTCTTCCTTCTCAGTTGAGACAGACCCTCTTTCTTTAAGGGCAGTGACTCCTGTCTGCAAAAGGGAGGGTCCCAGTTAACTGCCAGCCTGGGTAGGGGCTGCTCCCTGTCCCACTTAGCCTAATGGCCTCATGGGCTGTCCTTGGTGGACAGCCTTGGACCACTAGGAGCAGAGGAGCTCCTGTGGCAGTGGCCCTCAGAACACAGCCCTCTCCTCTTTCCTGACTCAAATCCGGGACAGGCCCACATTAGCAGGCAGCCCTGAAACAGCCGTTACTGACAAGAGACTTAGCGCCAGGGCTGGGATAAATCATGGGTAAGAGAAAGCTTTGGAACAAACACCTCCCATCATTTAGTAGGAGTCTGTCTGGCATAACTCCAACTGTCACCAGGAAACCAGAGCAAGCATCTTCCTACCAGAAAGGAATGAAATGCCACCTGAAGGCCAAAGCTTTCCTTTTGAGCCACTCCTGGGGCGTGGGCTTTGTGCCTGGGAACCAGCTCTTGGGCAGGGCTGCTGAGAGCCTAGCTGCCAATAGATGGACAGGCCCTGCTGGGAGCCTCTGTTATTTTTAAATACCAGCCATTCTCCCTCTCAGCATGGAGCTGTGCCCCATCCAAGAAGCTGCTTGTGCCCCACCGTTTCCTTGGTTCCTTGACTCCGCATCCCCTGGCTTCCACTGAAGAAAGTACAGTGGAACCTGTGGGACCCCCTGGGCAGTGCTCTTCAGTGGGCTGCTCTGCCTTCCGGCCCCCTCTGTTTCTGCATGGGTCCCCAGGAGAGTGTTTGCTCCTTGTAGATTGAGGTGGGATCAAAGTAGAAAGAACAAACAGGCGAAGGAACCAATACCCACCTTCCATATTAAAAATATAGCCAGGCCTTTCATTGGCTCCTTTTATACAAAGCCTTGCTGCATGAATATACACTTTTCAGCACACAGGCACAGGGAAGTTGCCTTTATTCATTGTCAGTGTTTCTACTAAAATTAAAGTCCTGCTTACTCTGGATCCCTGGTGGCTTTTTTCTATCCAAGTGACTTTCTAGCTGAGTCACTCCTTTCAAGGAGTTCACATTGCTGAGGATTCCCCCCACACACACACACACACACACACACACACACACACACACACACACTGTAAATCTCCAGATTATTATTGCAAGTGCCTTGACTAAAGGTAGGGCTTCCTTTTTGGTTACCATGGACACCACGAAGGCTAAGTCAAGGCCTGCTGGGGAAGGGAAAAGAAGGATTTGCATGTGCCGGCTGTAAATGATCTTAATCATTGTTTTCTCTTGGCAATCCCTGTGATGGTGTAATTATCAACCATTAGGCAGGGTATATAATTGCCTGGACAATTTGACATTACTGGCACCAGACCTGGAGTGTTTGAGAGAGTTCACCCACTATCTCAGATACACCAAAGTCCAGTGTCTGTTCATAAGGAATGTTCAGGGTACAATACACTGTAAGAGAGGGAAAACTGTCCATCGTAAGTACTCAGAACCAGAAATGACAAAGAAACTTTGGCCTTTTGGTTCTACAGGCACCTGGGAGATTCTTGGGGTCCCCAAGTCTGCTTGGTGGTGACTGTTTCAATAGTGCCACTTTCCATAGCTGGGTGAACTGTGTGGACCCTTCATGATTCACTGACAAATAGGCAAAGCTCCCAGGTTGTCCACTGGCTGCTGAACTTTTCCCTAAAGGCCTCATGAGCAATGCTTCTTTGAGCTGCAAAAGAATAGTGGTGATGAAGTAAAAGGTGGCACAAGTTGAATCATTTGGGGAGGAGCACTGTGAGGGCTCAACAAGACATCTGCTTAATATCGGTTTTAGATGTGCCTCTCCCAAAACACCTTGGTTTCAAACCAGTTGATGTTATTTTAGTTGTTATGTGGAATCTGTTGCAACAACAGAATCCAACTGTAAACCCTCCACGCTTCCCTCCTGCATTTGTCACTTTCATTTATGTTTTATTTTATTTTATGCTTCTTTAGTTAAGAACACCTCATACTTTTCCCCTTGGGATGCTTGTTTTTCCAGCTTCTAAGATTTTCCAGCTGGAACTGTTTCTTGGAAACAAGAAGTGGGAGGACTGGTGTGGAGGAGTCAGGGTCCAGACTTGAGTCCAAATCTGTCAATGACTTAGGCATGTTCACCCTTCTCAGACACCCTTTCCCTACTCACTCTATGCCCCCACCCACCCGTGAACCTTGGAAAGTTTGACCTTATTGGAGGTAGACACTGCTTTTCCCCAATCCCCACCACTGTGGGAACCATAGTTGGGCAGAGCAGCCCCAGGAAACCAGTTGGTGTCCACCATGATTCACACTTGGCACATCTGAAGACAACAGGCTGAGTCATGGATTTGTTCCCCAATCTGACCCCATGGAAGTCACACCAGCAGCTGCTTACCTTTCCTGTCCCACCCTGTCTTCTCACATGCCCCTTCTGTCTACCTGCCGTCTTTCTGACTCAGGTTTTAGGCTCCTTGTTTTTCCTTCCTCTCTCTCTCTCTCTCATGCCCATCAACCCATCCTTTATTTTTCTTCTTATTCTGCAGCTTCCTCATTTTCTCCTTCTATCTTCTGACCCTTGTTTAGGATCAGAAGTTGTAGGCACAACTTCATCCCTGCCTCATTCTCTATCTCTCCCTCTTCTCTTCCTTCCCTTCTCTTCCCTTGCTCTTCTCATCTCATCTCTTCATCTTCCTTTCCCTTTCCTTCCTTCCCTTATTTTCTCATCTCATCTCTTTGTCTCCCCTTCTCTCCTCCCACTGTCCCCTTCACACAATCTGGAGAGGACCAGCAGCCTGGATCTCAGTGCGCTGCCCACTGCTTTCTGAAGGTTGCTGACGTCTGACCCCCAAATCTTAAATGGAACTCACCGGGTTAGGCATTATTGATGACCTCCCGAATTAAAGCCAGACAATGGGTTATCTAAAAGAAAAATAAAGTTGACAATATACACTACTATCTATTCACGATGGAATTAGGGGTTAAGAAGACAGCGTCCTCCAGAGTAATATCTATGAAAGAGTCTTGACAGCTTTAGGTTGAAAGAAATCGAAACAGGACCTGGTCCACCTTCCTGCCTCTGTATGGGATCATCCTCATACAATATAGTTCTTTAAAACACTTTAGCTTCTAATTAGAAGCCCCCTACATTCAACCAGAGAGGCTGTGGGCCATGGCTGGAACCACAGGGACTCCATTTAAACATTGGAAATTTGGGATGGTGGATGATGAAGTTCTCAGGAGGCATGGGGAGCAGGGTGACCCCCCTCTTCAGCTGCTGCATCCACAGCTTTCAGGGATGATTTAAATGGAGTTTTGTCTGGACCTAGGGAGATGAGGGAGAACAGAGCCTGGGGAGAATCCTCTCCATCTAATGGTCCCATTTTTGACACTCTGATATAGCCTTCTCTTTGGACTTTCAGCTCAAAATAATCTTGGCCCTCCATTATGAAAGAGAGGGATGATACTGTGTCTGGTTGTAGGGAAAGGGAAGTCCACATGCTCCCTCCAGGACAGCTTCTTTTAAGCTATTTTTTGCTTTTGGAGGTCTGGCTAAATTGATTACAGCTACAGATCAAGCTGTCCAACTGCCTATATCCTCTGAAAATTGGACACAGAGTCTCCTGCAAGTCACAGATGCCAAGAAAACACAGCCGTGCCCAAACAAAAGAGGAAAATGAGGTCAGAAAAGGAAAGTTCACACAGACTCAGTGCTTTGTACTTCACTGGACTCAGAATGGGTGGTTGAACAAATGTACCAAGCAACACCCAATGTGTTCATGGGACCCTTGTGGAGAAAGAGAAGAAAGAGTAATCAACAACAACCTTGCCAGAAGTTCATCCAGGCCGGCCTTTGTCAGCCTGGGAAAAGAGAGAAAGGGATAGTGGAGAGTAGGGGATTGATATACCCATTGCATCCCTCCCAATCTGCTGTAGATTATAGGACCTTTAGAGGGTATTCTTGCCCATTTCTCCCACGTTGTGAGCCTTGATAAGCCAAAAATGTTGTGGATGGATTCCTTCAATCCGGGGACCTCAAACTGCTAAAATTGAGCTTTGCTTACTGTTAAAATGGTAGCTACTGTTTGCTTTGGGAGGACCACAGCATTGGGCTTTGATGAGGTCACCATCTGTTTCCAAAAGTGAAGGTCAAGGCAGTCCCCATGTGCAGGGGGAAGGCAGTGGTCCCTGAGGAGAGCCCTCTTTTGCCAAGGACAGGGCTGACTTCCACCGCACACAGAACCAGAGAGAGTGATCTCCCCGCCTCCCAGTGCACTCAGGCCAGCTGAACAACACTGAAAAGAGGCTTCACAAATCCACTTAGAGAAGGTTGGAAGATGCCACTGTCCTTTCCTTGCTTACCGCCCCACCCCCCACCCCCAGGCAGACAAGTGTGCACCCAAAGGATTAGAGGAGAGAAAGTAGCCCTTCCTCTTTGTTTACCCTCTTCAGTGTTCTCCTGCCTCAGGGACCTACCTGAGCAGTCTAGGAATGTTATTCTGGAAAAGGCTGAGAGTCTTCTATAGGTTTGCTTTTAGGCAGAAGTGCTGTCATCTTTAAAAATCTCAGCATGATGGAGAATTCATGAGCCTCCTGGTGAAAGCAGAGTGATCCCTTGTGCTGAGTCACAGTCTAGACCTTCATGTGGAAAGACCCAGCTGTGGAGCTAGTACCATCACCAAGTGCCCACTAGTGTCTGGGGAGAATGTATTTCCTCTTCATTTGATTATTTCCAGGAAAACATTTAATTGCTGGCAGACTTTGTGTCCATACTGCAGTCATGCAGGGCCTTCTTTCCTCGTGGGCCTGCTGGGTTGGAGATGGCCATGGGCTTGGGACGTACATGAGGCAGAGAGGGCCTATGTGTGCCAAACCCTCTGTCTCCTGCTGTACTATGCAGCCTGGCGGGAGTCTTGTGATTGTCCAATGATTTAATTCCCCAAAGTCTCAGCCCCACCCAGCATTAAGAACTGGCTAACTCTATGAAGTCTCCATCTCCCAAAGGCCAACTATGGAGCTCAAGCCAAGAGGCATTGCAGACCCTTTCTTGTGTGGGGATGTTGGGGTCCCAATAGGTTTTCTTTTTTACAGTGCTAAGGATTAAATCCAGGGCATGCTAGGCGAAGTGCCTACCCCTGAGCAACATCCCATCCCTCCACCCAAGAGGTTTTGACAGGCTTTGTGACTTGTCTTAACCACCAGAGAGCTCAAGTCTCCATGTCACTCCTAGGAACTGCCCACAGTAGGCAAGGGCAGGCTGAGTCTTGTGCCTTGTCTCTTAATGATGTGCTACTCTCTCTCCTTTGGTCCTCTTGATGTCCTCCTACAGGGAGCAGGCTGTACTGCCCTTGTGGTGGCCGTGGTGGCCCGAAAGCTGGAACTTACCAAAGCAGAGAAGCATGTTCACAACTTCATGATGGACACTCAGCTCACCAAACGGGTAAGATGCCACATCCATGTCTTTGAGGGGAGGGTTGCAGTGAGGGATTTACAACCAAAGCAGAAGCCAACCAGAAAGAAACTCATCACATGGCATGGGTTAGGGAGCCCCAGGCTCAGGCCAACAGCTTCAATGTAATGAACAAAACATCGTAACACACCAGGCTCCTGTCTTCCATTAAATCACTGTGCATGGTTCAGGCAACCAAATAATTTTCCTGATAATTAGATCAATAGCGTACAGTGTTGTAACCCACCCCCTCGCCTAATGGTGCCCAATAAATCACCCAGCATGATACAACAATTTTGTTTATGCTCAAATATTTTCATGATTCTTATTAGGAAGGACAGAAGAGTCTTAAAACTATACTGGAAATATGTCTAATGCTAATCCTTTTTAAAAAATCATTTAGAGTGATCATTCCAATAGAACCCACATTCCTAAATGTTGTTCATCAAAATGTCATCAACCAGCTTTCCCCTTTGGAGTTTTCTGGATAATGCTTCTCACTTGTACCCTTATGAAAGTGGTTAAGGAGGATGAACAACTGAAACATGCAGGAAGAGGAAGATCATTTAGCTGCTAAAAATCTGACACCCCAGTGAATTATCAGAGAAGAAAAGACTCATTTAGAAGAGACAGCAATGAGCCTTCCAGGATACAGCAGGCCAAATGAGCTAGGCAGGAGCTGTTTGTTTAATTATCACTTTTATGGAAGATTCTTTAGAATGACAGCCTGAACAGGTCAGGAATCTGATTTTCGGCAAGACTCTCTTCTTCCCGAGACAGAGAACCAAAGCCCAGAGTAAGGGTCTCGGCTTCCCGCATACCTCTGTCTCATTCAGGACTCAGGTGAGGTAAGGGATCCATGAACAACCCCACATTTCCACTGGGGCTTTTGAAAGCTAGAGAAAATATTCCATGATTAATGTTGCAAAGCAGTAAAAATGTGTTAGAAATAGAGACAAAGGCAGGAAGGGAGAACAAAAAGAGAGAGAGAGAGAGAATGGCAGAGAGTAGTGAGCAAGCTCTCCAGGAAGGCGGTGGGAAACTGTGCACTTGCCAAGGCCTCTCTGGTTTCTCAGCAGAATTATTTATGCTGTTTGATTGTTTGGTGTTTGATTACATTTATTGGGTTCTTTAAAGAGCTGCCACAGATGTGAAAAGGAATGGGTATGGGTAAATATTCCTGTATTGTTGATATACAAATGTTGTACTAGGTACATCATGGCTCTGGGCTCCCAGCTATACAAAAGAAAACATGATTTGAAGCATTAAGATGGCAGCAATCTCTGAGCACCACTAGTTCACACCTGTAATCTTAGCTACTTGGGAGACTGAGATTGGGAAAATCGAGTTTTAAGACCAGCCCAGGCAAATAGTTCATGGGACCCCATCTCCAAAATAACCAGACCAAAATGAACTGGAGGTGTGGGTCAGATTTGCTTTGCTTTGCAAATCCCTGAGTTAAAATCTCAATACCATAAAAAAAAAAAATGGCTGTAATCAACACTGTACCCTACCAGGTCTCAAGGTCTCACCCTAAAACCAGACCCCTCTTGTTCAGCCCCTCTAATATGAATGTTAAAGCCATGCTTGACATGGAGGAAATTTCAAAAGTTATTGGAACATGTAAATGCAAACACACTTGCATTTATTTCCCCAAGACAATTTAGTGAAGTTTCACTGGTTTGAAATATTTTGTCTGAGTGAGGGGTTGAGAGATTTTTGCCTCCAAAACCTTCTCAAAAGTTGTTTACCAAGAACAGAAACATTAACAATCTCTGTTTATTCTGGTTTGCTTTTTAAAGCCAAGAATATACTCAGTATTTCATGTTATTCCTTTGTCCTCTCCATTTTTCACCCAGTAAATCAGGCACTAGAGGAAAATAAAGCAAAGGAAAGCCAGTTCCTTCATACGCCAGGAAAATAAACAATTTTTTTCTGCAATGTAATTGTAGAAGGAGATGAGGTTGTGGTTGCTAATTTCAGTCTTTCAAAAATAATTCTCTAAAATCCTCTTCAAGTCCACTTATTTTTTGAAAAGTAGGATTGAAAATCAAATCCACACATATTTATTACTCGTCCATGAATGCAAGGTACCTTCTTAATCGAATAACATCTCACTTTTCTGAGAACACTTAAATCTGTTGAAATGTGCCTTTAATGTTTAATATGTTTGCTTGGAGAAATAAACAACACAAAAGGGATGGCTCTTACAGAAACAAGATTCTCCAAGCTGGCACCATTGGAACTTCCAAGGTTCTGTCACACAACCTTGATTGAAATGAAGCTGGATTCCACCCTCATCTGCTCTGGTTTGAGTTCATTTTGACCTGCCCACTAGAAAAGCCCACCTTTCTTCTTTTAAGGGGCCTGACCTATCCTCTGTCTTCTCCATATGGTCCCTGTGTCCAGCTAGGGTGTCAGAAAGATGTTAAGCTCAGTCCATTCATAAGATCTCAGTGGATTCTCAGAGAAAGATCATTGTGGAAGAAACTGACTGTGATATCTTGCAAACCTCTTAGGAGTGGACAATTAGTAGGTTGGACAGCTAAAAGCAATCCCTTGGAAGTATGTACAACCTTAATTCTTCAAACATCTAAGCAAAAAGAAAAAAAAAGGAGTTGTAGCCTATGAGTCATAAAAACACACTGATTGTTCTATTGTTAATTCATCCTACCCAGTTTGCTTCAGCCCATTCCAGCATTCCAGCCAGCACTATTTTCTTTTGGCTAATTGTGAGGAAGGGTATGGTCTGATAGCACAGGGAAAGAGCTCACTTCTGGTTTTCCTGAATCCGGGGGCTTATCTTCTTCCACTTGTATAACTTGTCAACCCGGGTGGCAATGTCATTTCTGTATTTAATGGGATCAGATCTTCCCACACTGACTTTGCAGTGTCACTGCCATTGTTATTCTATAATTATAACTTATTACTAACCTCTGGGCTACTAGATAATATAGAAGTAAGAGACGCACAGAGAGATTGTAGAGATGGTCCCAGAGCTTCATCTGTTCTCTCACCCAGTGCTCCATGTTTGCCATCTTTCTGTTTTATATAACAAGCACACCCATCACAGAGAAGGTTCCCTAGTTGTCTCTAGGGACAGCGAGATGGTTAAGAGGTGGTCTTTGCCCTCAGACTTCACCTCTGGTGATTGACTACCCTCAGAGAGCATGGCGAGGTGGGCTGCCATGGACACACTTAGCTTCAGAGGTGCCATGGGCAGGAGATGCTCTGTGTACCATGCCTACTCCCTACTCAGACCAGCAGGCAAACCCTCCAGCCAATTGGATAACTGTGCACAACAACTTCAGGGTTGCCCCTTCTTCTCCTTGCCGAAGGGTTCCTTCCTTCCCAAACCACATCCAAATACTTCCCATGAAATCAATGAATAAAACCAAACTCCCAACTTCCCTAAACCACTTATTTCTCCTCACTTCCCTGATCCACTAACAATATCACTGTCCGTCCAGCGTCTAGGCCCAAAGACCTAGCACCAGCTCTGATTCCTCTGTATCTTGGACCCCACAGCGGGCTGAGTAGCTTCCAAGGTTAATTCTACCTGGTCTTGGCTGTTCATACACAATGGCCTCTTACAGGCCATCAAAGAGCTTGCCACCTTCTCTCCTCATTTGGACCTCCCTTACTCTGCTCATCCTGCACTTTCCTTCTCAGTGGATCTCCTTAGACTCGATTTAGCTCTGAACATACCACTACCCTGCTCAAAACCCTTAGTAGCCCCCACAGCTACTGCATAGTGCTAAAGAAAACCTGAACTATGAGCATATGTCAAAGTTTTATCATAATCTTGCTAGAAAAATATTTTTTCAGCAGGCTAATTTAATGATTTACTCTTAGTAGGGGTATTTTATAGGAGAAAATAATGGGATTCTTTGTTCTGCCAGATGTAGAAGTCTGACTAAAGCACTCTAGACAGCTGACCTGCAGGTGGTCGGGCCCATGTGGATTCCCAGAACAAGACTTTATTTCTGTAAAGTTCATTAGATGATCAATCAAGCAGTTATAGGAATGCTAATTCACTGCAGAAGAGGACTTCAAATTACATCCCCACAAAACTCTGTCCCAGACAGATTGGGCACAGTGTTTCTTTAACAACAGTTTCTTTAACACAGTCACAGAAACACAGTGCATTGAAGCTGAAAGCATCCGTGGGGATGAGAAGGTCCAGAGACAGCATCCGGCCCAGAGAGGGACAAGGATGCATACGCCCAAGCTGTGTGCAGTTAGTCGGACCCTGTCTAGGATCTGGTTCATTCTCAGGCTGGCAGCAGCTCTCCAGTCACAACCTATGGGTTCTCCAGGGCCATCAGTTCTTTGGAACTTGACTCAGTGGTTTAGGGTCCCAGGCCTGCTGAAGAGAAGAGGCGGTTTAACTCTAGCTAAGTATCACATTTACAGTATTATGAAATTAACCACCATTCATTACCAGGTTGCTATGGCAAGAGCTTCAAACTCCAACTTTGAACCACAGAAATATATCTCCTCTCTGCCTCTCTCTTCCCATCCCAATTTCCTGCCAGCCATGGGGGTGGAGCCCCCCTCCCTCTGGGTGAGGCAGGGAGTGTGGAATAGAAGGAGGAAGGAAGGCGAGGAGGTGTAAGCAAGGTGATGAAAGAGAGGGCAGCCTCAGGAAGTCAGTAGGAAGTCTGTGGGGGTGATGATGAGGGAAGAGTGGGGTTAGCAGATGGGAAAGGGGGAACAGCCCCCTTCTCCAGTCCTGGGTAAAATGGACGCTTCCAGTCAAGTGTGTGGAGACAGGGCTGGCCCATGGGCTCTCCCATAGTGTTGTTTGTCATCTCCCAGCCTGTGTGACTTCTTGAGGTTATGAAGGTCATACCCTCCAAGCTGATCTAGCTTTCATCCCTTGCCCTCTCCAACCTCTAGATAGAAAACTGTTCCCTGAGAAGGGTTCCTGACAGCATATTGGGCACACTAATGATTTCTCTTGGGGGTACACCAGTGGGGTTCCTGGAATTTCTCTCTCAGGACTCCCCAGGGCACCTGGGGGTATAAGGTGCCCAAGAAGTGTCTCTTTTCATCCCCTTCACACTCCTGCCATCCTCCTGCAACCCATAGGCCCTCTGTAATACCAAGCAATGTTGCCTTGGCAGGGAGGTGGCCAGAACAAGCCCTTAACCTCGGATACTGTGGCCAAGAGCTCAGAGAACAGACACATGTTCTGTTGCAATTTTCTTTTGTTAGAAGTTGAGTTGATGAGAGGAAAAGAACATTTCAAACTACGATTTCTTGGGGGAGCAATAGTAACTTAATAAAGTGACCATACATTGGGGCACACTGTGGCCAAGCTCTGTGCTAAATGTTGTAAACATATTCTTATTTAATCGACACAAAAAGCCCATTTCATAGAACAAGAGTACTTGCAATACTCTTTAGCCCTGCTTTGCTTTTCTGTGAAGTACTATTCTCTGATACAAACTTCATGCCTTATCTTCCATAAGACTATAAATTCCATGAGGGCAAGAATGTATTTAATTTGCTGAACATGGTGGTACACACCTGAAATCCCAGCACAAAGGAGGCGGAGGCAGGAGGATCTCAAGTTGGAGGACTGAGCTACATAGCATGGCTCTGCCTCAAAAACAATGTTATTGGTTTGTTCATATTCTCACTTTCTAGAATGGTGTCTGGCCCATCATAGGCACTCAATAAATGTTCTTTGAATGAGGAAGGAAACTGTGTCTTAGAGAGTTCAGCAATTGAGCCAAGGTGGAGCTAATAATCCATCTCCTTGTTGAGTTTTTCTGGAGGTTAATGATATAAAGCAGTGTTTGGCATAGAGCCTGGCATATAGTAAGTGCTCAGTAAATGTTGTAGCTTTTATTTGTGAGTCTTAATTGGACCACTTTCTTACCGAAGCCCACTAACTTTAGAGGCCTTCCTAAAGTATATAGGCCACAGAGGCATCCTCTGACCCCAATCATAGCAAAAGCACCAACTTGGGGGGTAGGAAGCTTATGAACTCATAGAAAACAATCAGCCTGTGTGCTCATGGGTTTTGGAAGTAAGAGAGTTAGTTGGCCTTCTGTGCACAAAAGGTCTTGTCTAACCATCCTTAATAGCCATCCAAACCCCACCCAATTGTGACCAACAAACCCTGCCAGTTTTCTGCTTCCACCCATCTGTCTAGAAGCCCTGCCCCTCACACCCCAACATCCTGGAACATCTACTGAGCCTGGCGCCACCCCCTCTGCCCACCAGGAAAGCTCAGAAGATAGCCAAATCCCCACCAGGGAAGGGTATGTGGAGGCTGGTGGAGGCTCAGCAGGCCTCAGGAGGAGCTCACAGTGTCATCTGCTCTCCACCTGACAATGCACTTCCTATCCACCTGGGAGAGCGTAGTGCAGTTAAAAGCCTTTTTTTTTTTCTCTTGAAGATATTGATCTACTAAGCTTTGTGCCAGGCTGTTTGCTGGCAATTAATTTTAGTCAGCACAAGGGCTTCCATTTAACATCACTTTCCTGAATGCACAGGGGCCTCCTGTTCAAACCCATAAAGATGATGTGACTGCTTCTCAGCTGCCCTGACATTGCTGTGACTTCACTGTCTTACATTTGGGCTGAAGTTAAATGCAAGATCCAGATTCTATGTTCTGTCATGTTGCTAAGCAAGGGCCACGAAGATTAAAACAAAAAAAAACCTCTAATGTCCTTTTCCTATTCCTTGATCCTGGGAAACAGGAAATAATTTTGTTTGCGTGAACATGAAATCCAGTCAGGTTAGACCACATGAAAACCTTGTGTGCCCCTTGGACCTGGGTCTTGTTTAAACTTAGCCATTAGCTAGCTGTGTGATTTTGACCTCATATCTCATCTCAAGTGGTTTCCTGCTATTTTAAGCGAAGGGTGATAATAACATGTCTGTCTGGCATTGTATAGTTTATGTAGCACTCAAATCCACATTGACTCCGTTTGTCATTCTCAATTTCTTCATCTGTAAAATGGGATGGTATAAGTCCCTGTCTGATAGGGTGGTGGTGAGGATCCAATGAACTTAAGCACAGGAAGTACTCAGACCTGTGTCTGGCATCATCAGCACCATCAGCCTGGCCTCATATGGCCTCTTAGCAACTCTTAAGGTAAGGATGTCTGTCCCCTATCTGTTAGATATTTAAGCATTGTTTCCTCAACTGCTTAATGACTGTGCCACAGCCTGTCATCTTTTCCATTCCAAATGTTTTTCCATAGGACACAGAGATCATTGTCAAAGACCCGTCAGCTTTGACATTCTGTGGTTCTACCAGCATCCTAAAAAGGCAACTGGGTAACTGGGACCCTACTGATCCCTGTAAAGGCTGGTGTAGGCTTTGTCCTCCTGTCTTTAAAACTTTCCTTGGAGGCCAAACACCCAGGGACACTGAAGAAATCATGTGTCAAATTGCTCCTGTCCCTACAAAAGGACAACAACATGTGCTCTCGTGGGAGAAAGCCCTCCCTTCCATGCCACCTTTTTTTGCCAGGAGGCCGCTGTCCACTCTGGCCTGAGCAGAGCCCCAGAGACCATTCTCTCCTTGCCTTCCCCTTCCTCACCCAAGGGATACCAGCGATCTCCAGCCTCCATTCATCACCACCTGCTCCCTTTCAGGCAAGAAAATAAGAGAGGTGGGCAATTAAATCATTTAAAACCATTTCACAGTGGATTTTTACTGAACAAAAAAAACCAATATTTATGTCACTTAGACATTTCTGAGAAGACTTAGCTGTTCTTTTAAAAACATCACTTCAGCGCCAATGAAAAATATAATCCAGCCTTAGTAATAAATTTTTGAAACATTCACACACAAAAGTTATCAGTGCAAAACAATGTTTCCTAGGCCTTCCCACACGTCTCAGTATTTTAACAACGTCCCATCTGTTGATGTCAGTCTGAAGAAGCAGGTCTGTACTCTCCAATTTTATTAAAATCCTTTCTGGCTAGTAACCTGATTTCTTCTAGTCTGGCCTACTTACTTTCGGGCCCCGGGCCCATGAACCTGTGCCAATTTGCATAGCTGACAGAAATGGAGATGGTTAATCAAAAATCTGTTTAGCTTGTGCTTAATAAGGAATGTTTTCTCTTGTTCTTGTTTCTAATTGCTGAAGATGTCTGTGTTTGGATCAAAACTTTGTCCCCTGCCATCTGGGTGCCATTGATACGTCTCAGCTCAGTCGTGAGCCGGGTGATATCAGTGGTTTCCATGTCAACAGATGACAGCATCCTGTGTGGAAATGTGTGATTGCAGTGCATGGTGAAGGAGCCAGCCTTGAGAAGGAGGCAGCTCCAGTTTCACACCTAAATATCTTCACTGATTTTCAAACATCACTTTGAAATTATTTCAGTGTTATGCCAATTACACTTACATGTCAAATTGCAGTGTGCAAATGGTCTGGGCCATTTAGGAAAGGAAACAATGGACTTGTTGATACCTATAGTTCCGATTGGTAGAAAAGACCTTTTAAATTCTCCAGCTGATAGGAAATCTGTTTATTCTCTGAATCCAAAAAATGTTCCATATACAGTAAATGGCAATCATAGGTAAAGCACAGTTCTCTGCACTCGAAGGCAGCAATGGCATGTATTTATCTATTCAAAGGGTACCCCGGTCCTGAAGGTCTTGCGAAGGCAGCCTGTCTAAAAATAGCACCAGCAACAGCAGTGGAGAGGCAGAGCTGAAATAATTAAGAAGGAAAGAAGAAACGCCTCTCAACTCCACGCTCAGTCTACTGCATCCCGTACAGGATTAGTAAGAGATGGGTTTTAATCATCTTTTCAGAGTTCTAGAATCTTGATTAAGAAAATAGACCACTGCAGAATTATTTTTTAGGAGGTAGACTATAGCCACACACACGCAAGAAAAACATTACGTGAACCTACAAAAATTAACCTGATAGCAGCCTGCTCTTTCTTTTTCCTTAGATCAAGAATGCTGCAGCCAATGTCCTTCGGGAAACATGGCTGATATATAAACACACAAAGCTGCTAAAGAAGATTGACCATGCCAAAGTCAGGAAACACCAGAGGAAGTTCCTCCAAGCTATCCACCAGTGAGTACTGGAACAGCTTAACCAAGGTGACCAAACTAGGGTGGGGGTGGACACAACCCTGCAGCTCTGTCAGCATCTTTTCATATACCTGGGAAGCACAGAAAAAATCCAGTCTGCTCCACTCAGCAAGCACCAGGGTGGGAAAATGGGCCCAATTCTCATACTGCACCTGCCAGCAGTGGGCAGGCTGCTATGGAAGATAAAAATTAGAACAAGAGCCTCTAAGAACTCTCATATCATACACACACACACACACACACACACACACACACTATACTTTGCCATTTGATGATGCCTTCTGGATAGAGAAATAGAAGTTTTTTGGCGGCACTAGGACTTAGACTCAGGGCCTCATGCTTGCTAGGTAGGCACTCTCACCTCTTGAGCCACTCTGCCAGCCCAGAGGAATAAATTTTTTTTTAAAGTAAAATAGAAAAGCAAAGGATGAAAACAGTCATTCTGACCTGAGGTTTGGGGAAACCCTGAAAGGTTGAGAAGTGGGTATTCAAGGCAGAAGGCACAGCCTGAGCAAAGTCAGAGAAGTAGGGAAATGGTCTGAGAATGCCAAGGAAATTAAAGTGACTGAAAGCAAGTTAGCATGGAGACAAGAGTTTGCTTCCTTGGGCACCTGACAAGCCTTTGATGCTATCAGCTGTTACCCCATTCAAGATCTCCATGCTGAGTTTCAGCATGAAATGATAGGGCTGTAGAATCTACCATGGGGCTAAACCTTCACTTGACCTTGAAGGGTTTGGCTGTTCCAACTCTTCTCCACAGACTGAGGAGCGTCAAGATGGAGCAGAGGAAGCTGAGTGACCAAGCCAACACCCTGGTGGACCTTTCCAAGGTGAGTGGCAGAATCCAAAGACATCCTGGAGTTCCCAGACACTGGCACTGAGACTTCTCAGGTGTGCCTGGCTGTGTTCAAAGTACACAAGACAGGACCAGGAAAGCAAAGAACATTCCTCCTTAGTTAAAAAAAGAATCTTTGTCCAAGTTTTTTGACATTTGCAATCTGCCAGTGTGTCTTGTCTTTTAAAACTTGGCATTTGTTTCTTGAGTTAAACAGCTCAGGTTTGTCTTTGCTTAGAACTAATTAGCCGACCCACTAAATCTTTTCAGTGTGCTGTTTTGTTAGCCATGCACTGAGAGGCTCCTAGGGTTGGGCTGGAGTTTCACAGAGGCGAAACACCTTAAGACGGACCAAATGGTGACAGTGGCCATGTTGATGGCCTAGATTACACTGAAGAGCTTCTGCTTTGCTATTACAACTAGAAGTTAATTTTCCTGCATCTTCCAGTCCTTACTACCCAGTTTTTCTGGCACTAAATTGGTGGTTGTGATGCACGTGTTTCTTTATTTCTCAAGAGGCTGAGAGTTGACAGTGAGCACAGAGATCCCCCAAAAAAGAGCCCAACTTAAGCCCAGGCTTAAGGTCTGATATCACATTGTCATTTCATGTTTCTGGCACTGAAGTGTCACACTGTTAAGAAACTCTGTCCTTTCAAAATCACCAAAGTGAAAGAAGTGAAGGCCATGCTGTGGGCAGAGCTGAGCATAGGCACCATTGCAGAGAGGGCCTCCCTGACCCCCCCCCCCCACCATTGCCTTCTGATAGAAATTGTATAGCAAGGGTACAGCCCAGGGCCAGGCTGCAAGAACATTCCAGCAGATGTCAATTACCATAATGGAACCTGTTCCCTGGAAAAGCAAAAGAAACACCCTCAGGCCAATTAAGCACCCTTTGAAAAGAAGGTGCAATCAGAAATTACTGGTTGTTGGGCCTTGTGCAGGCACCTTGCCAGGCAAAGAAAGGACCTCCTAAGCCTGTGAGGACTTCAATCAGGGAATAAGTGACTTGACATGGCTGGGGAGAAGCCCAGAGTCCTGTGTGCCTTTGTAGGTGGTGTTCAGGTAGAATGGGGGGTTCCCAAAAGCCTGGTGTGGGAATGACGAGCGGAATATTGGTGTGTAGGGAGGAACCCCGGGATCTTCAGTGTGTTGGTTAATAGTCTCAGGTTCCAATATCAGAAAGCTACTGGAACTAGGCTGGAAAGCGGAGGAATTTATTCTAAGAGGATAAGGGAGTCTCACTCTAGGCAGAGCCTCAAACCAGGCATTAGGGTCAGACTTCAGGAAAGAACGGACTAGACCTGGACGTGGGAAGCCCTCAGGCGGGATCCTTATACCATCTCTCTCTCTCCTTCTTTCATGTGCCTGCTTCAGTGTGCTTCTCTCTGTGTGTCTCTCTGTCATAAACACACACACACAAACAGACACACAGTTCCTGTCTCTAAGCAGACTATGACACGCCCCTAATCCAAACAGTTCATGTTACAGTTTTAGTCACCAGTAAAGATTGCTTCTAAATTCTCAGAAGAGGTGAGATGACTGGCCAGTTTGGGTCATATGTCTTCCCTTGGACCAATCAGCTGTGGCCAAGTCAGGAGTGAAACACCTGAGGGTCCACTTGGTAAACTTCAGGAATGGCCTGATGAGATTCCCCAAGACATTTCTTCTAGAAATTACAATGTTTCCTATCTCACCTCTCACCTGACAGGACTCAGTGTTACTGATGTTCCCTCAGAAATGTCAGGTAAGCCCAACTTTCAAGCCCACCTTTCTGCAGTGCCACCCATAGCCTCTCAGAGATGTGGCCCAACAACAAAAACCTCCATGAGTGAGAAAGGTGCTCATGAGTTGGGTACAGGAAGTAAGCCATACATAACCTGGGGAGTGAGTTACCTGGAAAAAAAGAGTGGACAGGAAAAAGTTAAAGGGAAGATTCTGCAGAGCCACTGTTGGGGACAGGCCTGAGACCTGGGAAGGAGGTGAATTCTGACATCCATCCAGCCTTTGTCTTTTCCTCCCAGGAGACTCGCCCAAGGTGTGGGCCACAGTGCAGCATATTTTGCATTGGTTCACATTCCCCAGCATCCTGTCATCAAACAGTGGGACAGGGAAAGACAGTAGTGCATGCTTGCTCCTTCCTTCTTTGTGCTTCATTCACCCTCCTTCTTGCCACCTTCCCACCCTGCCCTTCGGGTCTGCCTAGATCAAGAATGTGGCATGTAGCTTCCAAATATTATTTTCTATATGGAACAACTACCTTATATGGTGACAGAGAAGGGGGAATTAGACTTTTTACCAAATGGTTTCAATTTCTTCAATCAAAATATAAAAATAACTCCTACCATCTGAGCTCAGGTGATCCAATAAGGGAATATCTGTAAAACTGCTTAGTAAATTGTCAGGTTTTTGGCAATGGTACTGCTGATTATGAATACAGATGGGGAAATCAGAATTGGAAGGAAGAAAGCAACCATCCCAAGGTCAGGCAATTGGTGTGCGTCAGTGCTGGGGCCAAAACCCAGGGGCCAGGACTATGAATCTAGAGCTCATCAGGGTGCCCCTGTGGACAAAGAGTCTGTGGTTTAGACATTCCAGGAAGAAAATGCACCTTGAGGAGGCTCTGTGGATGCCAACTAACAAGAGAAGTACCTTCACTTTTGAACCCACCCTTTCCTCTGCGGGTATCCAAGAGGCAGCATTCTGCCCTGACAGTGGTAGAGTGGATGGGGGGGCTGTCTTCATGCCACCTCTGCCATCGCCTCCCCATGCAGCCTGGTGAATTCCAGCTGGTGAGGTTTCACTACATTTTCACGCCCTCTTCCCTCTCCCCTCTGGCTTCCAATGTTTTTCTCTCACTTTGTTTCCAGCTCCTTTGACCCCTGGGGGCACCAAAGGGTTCCACATCCTCCTGGAGTAACTTGACATTTCAAGGTGAAATAAGATTGGGATGTCACTGGCAGGTTGCCAAGCCCAAAGAGCCATAATACAGGGTGGTGGGGCAGAGGGGCTGGGGGATTGGGAGGGACCCTCCCCTCTACTATAGCTGCCACCAGAGCGTAACTCCTGAATACCTGGGAGTGTGAGCCTCTCGTGAATCTTGCTCTCAAGTCTGCTGTACAGAGCCAGCATCCTGACATTGGATAACCTGCTGGGAGGAATATGGCTATCACGTAGACTAGGATTCTGCTCACCAATGGCACTCAGGGAAGGGGAAGTTGGGAGGGGCACATTGAGTGTCTAGGGAGGAACACTGGTAACAGGTGGGGCCCCTGGAACACTGCATGACAGTGTTGGGGGCTGGAGGGTTATTGGGAGCATCCTCAGCACTTGTCAGGGAGTGTGAGAAGCAGCTTTGCTCAAAAAAAGAGTTTGAACTGGGATTAGCCAACCAAGACCTTGTCCAGTTGGAATAGCCCTTCAGGGATGTCCCAAACTCAGGCACAACGGACAACGCCTTTGTACCTCCTCCTAGGCCAGGCAGGGAAGGACTGTACATCAGAAAAGACAGCTCCCTTTGGCCGAGGACCGTGCCTGAGGAGTTAATTACATTTTACATTACAGTCTGGCTGCTGTGTTGAAAGTAGGGGTGGAGCACAATAACTTCCAACTCTGTGTAGTTATTAACTCCAATTTTATAATGAAACCAAGGTTCAGAGAGGTTAAGTGGTCTGACAGAGGGTGCACTATTTGTGAGCTGCAGACTTGCACTTGAACCCTGGCCTACTAATTATAAGTCTATAGCATTTGCCATTCCCACCTCAGTGTCTTCTCTTAAATCATTAGCTGCCAGCAGCCAGTGAGCTCAGAGTCCAGGTCTCTGTAAGAACATGAGAACTGTCTAGAGACTTACTCCATTTAATTAAAAAAAAAGTGCTAGTTCTTGTCCTTCATACATATTTCCCGTTTAAAATTTATCACTCATACTCATTACTTTTGTAATAAGAAAAACAAATGTGCCTACCTCAGCCTCCCTGTCTCCTGGAAAGAGACAGGTCCCTCCTTCCTTGGCCAGAGCAGGCAAAGCTGGGGTGGAGGTCGCTCCTGCTGAGAGGCGAGGGCGTTTCCATCTCCCATGGTGGAGTCCTCTGTGATGACCATGACAGTTCCTCTCCCTGTTCCGGCTCTGTTTCTCCACACAGATGCAGAACGTCATGTATGACTTAATCACGGAGCTCAATGATCGGAGTGAAGACCTGGAGAAGCAGATAGGCAGCCTGGAGTGTAAACTGGAGCACCTCGCCGCCAGCTTCAATTCCCTGCCCTTGCTCATCGCGGACACCCTGCGCCAGCAGCAGCAGCAGCTGCTGACTGCCATCATGGAGGCCCGAGGTGTCAGCGTGGCGGTGGGCACCACCCATGCCCCACTCTCCGACAGCCCCATCGGGGTCAGCTCCACCTCCTTCCCGACCCCATACACAAGTTCAAGCAGTTGCTAAATAAAACTCCCCACTCCAGAAGTGTTACCCATAGGTCTTAAGATGCAAAATCAACTCTCTCCTGGTCGCCTTGTCATCAAGGAACTCACAGACCAGGGAATGGAAAGAAGAAAGACGGAGCTAATTAGCTAACTCATGTTCATTCGGCGTGCTTGGTTCGACATGCCTTGAAACCAGAAATCTAATCTCTGTTTAGGTGCCTCTACTTGGGAGCGGGAAGAGATGACAGGAAGCCACGCCTCTGGCAGGGCGCTTGCCGCAGAGTTGGTGGAGAACAGAAATCCACGCTCAATCTCAGGTCTTCACATGGGATGGGGAGGGGCAGATGCACTGAAATGGCCAAGAGTGAAGCCAGCCCAGAAGAGGGCCCCTTGGGAGAGGGGTGGTGTCAAGCTCCAGATATGTGTTCCTCACTTTGGGGACCTCAGTACACCTCTCTCCTTTCCTTTTGTCTAAGAAAGTCTGTGGGTAACAAAAGTAAAAGAGAGCTGCCCACAACTTGCCAAAACAGACATACCTAATTTAGTTTGGAAAAAAAATAGACAAATAAAAAGCCAGATTTTTCATCCAATATTAATACTCATAGAAATGTGTGTGTTTGCAAGTGTCTGCACACACACACACACACACCCCAACCACACAACCCACATTCAATCCAGGTCCTTTCTCATTTGAGCTTAACCCAAGTGAATAGGGACCTGGTACCGTCCCCCGCACACAATACAGGCACTCTCTTAATGAACGTGGAGTTGGTTTGAATGGGCGCATTCCGTTCAAATAGTCACGTTCCCAGCTTCACTAATAATCCATGTCCCTCCCAACACAGTGCAGGTTGCTTTGCCCTGGGTATGCACCATGCTTGATTTGAAGTGGATGCCAAGCCAAAATTGTTGACATTCTGGAGGGATAAGGAGGCTTCTAAAAATAATAGCTTTTGCAGAGTTTTCTTCTTACATTCAAACAAGCTGTGTTTGGATGGACCACTTGCCCAGGTGTATGGGGAGGGAAGCATGGACAGGTGCAACCCAGTGTCACCTCAGTGAATAGAAGTATTGTCTGGGGATTGGTTTAGCTTTGTTCACCCAGTGACAGGTTCCAGCCCCAGATGTTTCAAGTGCAAAAGGGTCAAGCACCTCCCTCTGCTTAGCTGGAAGGGAAAGTGTGGAGGGGGCCCACATGGTGCCTTCCACCTGACCTAAAGTCACCTCAAAATGAAACATCGTGAGAACACAAGGAGCTCTTAGGGAACTTGTGGGTAAGGTAAGAGGACACAGATTTTTCAGAAACCTGTTCCTATTGTGCCATTTTAATCTTGGTGCAAAAACAATCCCAATATATCTCAAACTCAAAGAAAATTCCAGAAACATTGAAATCCAGTGTAATGACAGGCACTGAACATTTCCTCATTGCTCCAGAGTCTGACCATACATAGCATTTGTGATGTGAAAACTGTCATGTCATTTATCAATTTTCTCATTCTGAGGTCTTTGAATTCTGCTCATAAGAAATCAAATGATGCTTTATGGAATATTTCATCTGTTTAGGGTAAAACAAAAGGGTGTTATTGTACAGGGGTTGTCATCTTGGGTTTAGTTTTGTAACAAGACATCACTGCCATTCTCAAAGCACTACCTTGATGTACAGATTTTTTGTGTGTGGCACTGGGCCTGGTCCTTTAGGGGAGAGGAAATCATTGGGCAGGAAGGTAGACAAGGCACTCTTTCAGGATGATCTGGTCTCTGGCTAAGCCTCTTATCTTGTGTCCTGCTATTGCTTCTTTTTTTGTTTTGACTTGGTTTTGGTGTTTGTTTTGTAGTGCTGGGGATCAAACCTAGGGCCAGGCTCTACCACTAAGTTATACTCCAGCTAGCTGATGCTATTTTAATGGTCTGTCTTCTTAATGATTTATCTTGATAATTCCCTTGAGCATTTTCATTAGCTATTTTTCATACCAGAGATCCCACATCTACTATTGGCTTTTTATTTTTTTACTTCTTCTTTTTAAATAATTAATCATCTGAAAGATTCCCCACTTTCTTCTCCCCTTTCTCCTCCTCTTCCTCCTCCTTCTTCCCCTTCCTCCCTCTCTCTCTGTTTTTCTTTCTCTCTCTTAAACTGTCTCCCAAGAATGGTATTGTAGTGATAGTTTGGCCAAACTTGTAAGTGGACATATGAACAGATGAAATAGCCATGAAGTTTCTTTGTGACATTAGTTCCATTTCACAAAGAGAAGACCATGATGGGTCCACCTGAGTGTGCCAATCCTGGTTGTTTAACCTACAGCCCTCAACTACTGATTTCTGCTCACTCTTTCCATCCTGCTGTGACCCTATGCTATGTGTTCATGTGAAAGCTGGCATGGTCACAGGCTGGTGCACATACAGGGATTTTGTCTTAACTTCAAATAAATGACATGCAAGATTCCATTACCACTCCTCCTGCCCAAAAGTGTGCACAGACTGCATTTATCCATCGTGGTCTGTGGATATCTTGGACCCATTATGGACACTCTTGCTAGGTAAACCCTGCAGACCAAGCTAACAACACTAGTGGATGGAGTAGTTGGAGATATTTCCAGGAGCGGAGTCACAGGCATCATAGAGACACGTGGGCATTTGTAACGTGACTTGACCTATCGGTAGTGCAATAGCTATGTGTGGTTTTTATTCTTGATAAAAGAATACTCTTAAGAAAATAAGTGATCAAATCTGCATGTTGATCCCGTAATGATAAATGGGACACTATGTCTCTGTACTAATAGTTCAGCTTTCTGTGGGGAAGTTATGATTCTCCTGCAAGTACAATGAACCCTTGATAATCTAGGTATTGAGGACCGTGGGTGTAGCTCACCCAGATTTTCTTCCTACATCTTTTGGGTGATTCCATTGCACTCAGCAACACAGTCAAATAGGAAAAGGAGCTGGTGGATTCAAATCCATGCCTTCCTGTACCTTATTTTCAAGTTAGGTAGTGGAGGAGGTTTACTTATCCATTCAAAAATGGGCTACACATAAAAACTATTAATTACTGTAACCTCACTCCAATATTGAACTGATAGAATTCTGCCCACTCCTGGAAGGCTGGCCTATAGCTGAGACCCTCCTCTAATCTTTCCAGTAACACAGTGGCAGGTAAAAGCACTCTAATATTCCCCCAAATATCTAGACACTTGAATTAGAAATACAGAGCCACCCCCTCATCGCTTAAGCCATATTACAGCTTCATGTACTGTAAAGTCAGGGTGTACTGTGATACTTTAAGACCACTACTGTCAGTGGAATTTCAGGACATAGCATCAGTTGGTAAATTATACCAGACTAGAAGCTCACTCCTTCTTAGATTGAAGTCCAAATAAAAATCTGCACCTTTGGATCAAAGGCCACCTATGCGTGATGATCATCAATAAATTGTCATAAAGTGTCTATGAACTGTTCTTGCCACTTTCGTAATATATAACTTCATGACATCATAGCTCTAGATACAATCCAAAAGAACAAGAGGGCTAGGGCCCTGAGTCATCACTGACTGCCTCACCTCATCCCAGACCAGTGGTATAACAATGACCTTGTAAATTAGGAGATGTAGAAAATGTACATAAAAGTCAATTCTCAAGTGCTGAGCAAGTGCAGGTTATTGTAATTATTAAAGGCCAAGAAGGAACAGCACTGAAGAAATATTGATTTTAATGTATTTGGGGATGTCCCCCCTTAAATTTTCAGTAAATTTCCTTGTGAATAAGGAATGGAAAAGAAGAACATTAGTGATATAAAAATCAGAATAAATAAAAACCTAAGGCTGGATCCACATTTTGGCCAATTAATATAACCACCTCATACCTCAGTTTCTCTATATTTCAAATGAAGATAATATTATTAAGTATAAAGTATTCAATAGAGGAAAAAATGAAATTACTATGGTCATCAATAGCATCTAGGCTGACTAGCTGGTTCACACTTTGATATTGCATTTGAATGTAGTCAATAGTTGCCAAAAAGTAATTATTACATATCAAACAAGTAGTGAAATGAGCAAGGAGAAATATTTGATTAACGCATAGTTTCAGAACTACCCTCCTCTTTGAGAGTGTAGCTTGAGAAAGTGCACCCCAAATTAAGAACAAGTGTTTCATCTCAGAACAAATAGCCTTGCTACCCTTACAGAACCACATGGAGACTCTGGGAAGCCATTGCACTGCCAGTAGGTTACCACTCCTTTCTTAAGTTATTGCTTTGAAATCCTAAACTATGTCCCCAGTTTTATACAGTCATTCTACTTCCCTGAAAGATGCGGAAGCACATTTAAGGATCTGTTGGTTATGTTGCTGTCTCTGTTGACTTGGCTCTGCAGCATTTGATTTCAGTACCTTAGATAGCTAGCTAACGGCTTCCTGGCAGGAAGGGGACAGTCCGTTCTCTCCCCCTGCAGTCAGTGGGCTCCATGATGCCCTGGGAAGTTTCCCTTCCTTCTCCACTGCCACCAAAGTATATATTTTGGGGATGGGCTCATTGCTTCCACTAAGAAAGTAGTATTGCCAAGATAGTAACTGTCTGCCTGCAGGAGTAGCAAGCTTGTGCCAAGCTGCAGAATAGACATTAACTTTAAACTCCTGTCAGACAAGATGTAGATTTTTGTCGAAATAGACCACAGTTTATTAAAAAAAAAAAAAGTACTCTGTGCAGTGATATAGAGCTATACACAGATAGAGAAAAGCATAACTGTGACCTTTTTGTCTTATACCATTACTGGAAACACTCAATCACGAACTGGAGTTCCCTCTGAACAAAACCATTGTCAAATCTTCAACGTATAACCTCCAAACCTAGGTGCCAAGTGCCCTGCTATTGTTGTTTACACACCTAAGAAACATATTCTGGAAGCTGTAATCTTGGGCCTGGACAAACAAGAGACGTCGTGACCAACCAAGCTGGTAGAGGAAAAGCACAAAATTTAATACCAACTTGTTGTTAGTATCCCAAAGAGATGCTAACATTTCTGGCCAAAAAAGAACAGTGACAAATGAAA